TATTGAGGTACAAATCTGAAGTATTTGAAAAGTTCAAAGAATTCAGAAATGAAGTGGAGAAACAAATTGGTAGAAATATTAAAGTTCTTCGATCAGATCGAGGAGGTGAATATTTGACTAATGAGTTTCTTGATTATTTAAAAGATAATGGGATTGTCTCACAGTGGACGCCTCCTGGAACTCCACAACTCAATGGGGTTTCAGAAAGGAGGAATCGAACATTGTTGGACATGGTTCGATCGATGATGAGTACCACTGATCTACCTCTTTCATTCTGGGGCTATGCCTTAGAAACAGCAGCATATATTTTGAATAGAGTGCCAAGTAAAGCTGTACCCAGCACACCTTATGAGATATGGTGTGGTAAATCACCCTCATACAAATATTTACGAGTATGGGGTTGTACTGCTTATGTAAAGCAGTTAGTGGGAGGTAAGTTGGATATGAGATCCATCTTATGTAAATTTGTGGGGTATCCTAGAGAGTCTATTGGATACTATTTCTATGATCCCTCTGAACAAAAGGTGTTTGTTTCGAGGAATGCTGTATTCTTAGAGAAAGATTTTATCTCAAAGAATAGCGGAGTCATAGAACTTAATGAAGAACAACCACAAATTCCACTAAGTACCACGGAAAACATACCAGTAGAGACTGGACCATCTAAAACACAACCTCTTCGGAGATCCGAAAGGGTTTCTAGGGCGCCTGAAAGGCTATACCTATTGTCAAAAGACAATGAAGAGGGATTCCTTTTGGATAATGATCCAATAAGCTATGATGAGGCAATGTTGGACATTGACTCAGATAAATGGCAAGAAGCTATGCAATCCGAAATAGATTCCATGTATTCAAACAAAGTATGGACTTTGGTTGATCCACCACAGGGTATTGTACCCATAGGTTGTAAATGGGTTTACAAGCGAAAACGTGGTGTAGATGGAGAAGTAAATACTTTTAAAGCAAGACTGGTTGCTAAAGGTTATACTCAAAAACAAGGTGTTGATTATGAGGAAACTTTTTCACCAGTAGCAATGCTTAAATCTATTCGGATATTGCTAGCCATAGCTGCGTATTATGACTACGAGATATGGCAAATGGATGTGAAAACTGCTTTTCTTAATGGAAATATTAAGGAAGACATTTATATGAAACAACCGCAAGGTTTCATATCCAATGGGAGTGAACAAATGGTTTGTAAACTTCAAAGGTCTATTTATGGACTTAAACAAGCTTCGAGGAGTTGGAATATTCGGTTTGATGAAACGATCAAAACGTTTGATTTTCATAAGAATCCGGATGAACCATGTGTTTATAAGAAGGTTAGTGGGAGTGCAGTTACATTTGTTGTTCTATATGTTGATGACATCCTACTCATTGGGAATGATGTAGGGATGTTGCAGTCAACTAGGACATGGTTGTCAAAACAGTTTTCCATGAAAGACTTGGGAGAAGCATCCTTTATCCTAGGGATAAAAATCTATAGGGATAGATTTAAACGGATGATCGGACTATCCCAGTCGACGTACATAAATAAGGTGCTACAACGGTTTAGCATGGAAGAATCCAAACGAGGATATATTCCAATGAGTCATGGGATTTCTCTTTCTAAGACGATGTCTCCAAAGACACCTGAAGAAAGAGAACGGATGAGTCATATACCTTATGCATCAGCTATTGGTAGCATTATGTATGCAATGTTATGTACAAGACCTGATGTGGCTCATGCACTTAGTGTAACGAGCAGATATCAGTCTAATCCAGGTGAAGAACACTGGAAAGCCGTTAAGATGATTCTTAAGTACTTACGAAGGACTAAGGATATCTTTATGGTATACGGCAATGGAGAACTGAAACTAGAAGGCTTTACTGATTCTGGTTTTCAGTCCGATAAAGACGACTATAAATCCATGTCTGGATACTTATTTACTCTGAATGGAGCAGCAGTTAGTTGGAAAAGTTCCAAACAAGAAACAATTGCTGACTCTACGACAGAGGCTGAATATATTGCTGCATCTGATGCTGCAAAAGAAGCTGTTTGGATAAGGAACTTTATCCAAGGGTTGGGTGTAGTACCATCCGTTGTTGATCCAATAATGATTTATTGTGATAACAATGGGGCTATTGCGCAAGCAAAGGAGCCAAGATCTCATCAAAAATCCAAACACATTATGAGGCGATACCATTTGATTAGAGAAATCATTGGTAGAGGCGATGTCGTGATGGAGCGAGTCGACTCAGCAGAAAATATAGCAGACCCCTTAACTAAACCCTTATCACAGAAAGTGTTCGAAGGACATCTTGAGAAGATGGGTCTTAGATACATGAGTGATTGGAACTAGGGCAAGTGGGAGATTGTTAGAGTAGGGTACCCGGCGTTCCAATCTAATTGGACGTATTCTACTTGTAAATACAGTCTATTGGAATTATATTATGAATAAGGCATTTCTTTATCTTAAGAGAAAGCATTTATCTTATAATTGCACTTAAGATAAAATCCCTAGATCACTTATGGTTATAAGGTATGGTTGCGCATAGAGATGGTGATCATGGAACATACCTTGAAAGCCGTGATCTTAAATACAGTTCCAAGTCGATGGATGTTTCGAGATGGGATATCGAATAATCCATAAAAGACTTGCACATAGTTTGTACGCTTGTTGGACAAGAATGTTGCATTCCATCAACATTAGCGTGTGACGCAAATACATTTATGTGGGTGCTTGTTAGAGAACAAGTTCACTGAACATGACCGTATGAAAATTCTTAATGAAGAATTATTTTAGTTAATAATCTGTCGAATAAGAATTTTCATGTTACAATAGTACATGACTAATCCTAAGACTTGAGGCACAATGGTAACTTTGTGCATATTACATTCTACTTTGATTTATCCTTTTGGTAGCTAGCACTATCGTATAAAGGGATATTTTGGGTATTATGTTAATATGTATGGAAGTTTGTTAGTGGCCAATAAAGGATTCGACACTTATGAAGATAAGTGAATTTCCTATGTATTTCATAGTTATTAATCCAAAGTCCTTGGCCAAGGCAGAGATGAATAGTGATTCATAACCGGGTTATACACTTTGAAATAGAATCATAGTTATTAAGTAAATTTGGGTTTCGACAAAATCATACCCAAGACTTAATCGGGAAATTAGATGTCGAAAGGATTTTACATGTATGGAGTTGTAATCGGAATAGGTTTACTCGCTATTCACTTAATACTAGATTCATGATACTTGCTAGGTGTTACCATGATATGTGAGTTCATGAATTAAGGGGTTAATTCTTGAATAAGAGTTAATAAGATTTAACTCAAATTACAAAGTGTTGTAAACCCACTACTAGTATTAATAGTGAACCTAAAAGGTCACACTAATTATGAACAAAGGTAAAGATTGTATTTCTAATGGTTAGAATTAATTGATAAATATCTAATTTGATTAGATGTCAATTAAAGGAATATATTAATCAATAAGATTGATTAATTACATTTTGGATATTACTTTAGTAATTAAAGTAATTAGTAAATTAATAAAGTTGAATTTTAAAATAGGATTTTAAATTTCAAATCCAAAATAATAATAATATGATTATTATAAGATTGGGAAAATGATATAATAATAAAGTCTTGAGAAAGATTCTCAAGATTTATTATCCAATTATTATTTATATCTTTAAATATGATTTAAGGATTAAAATAAGAAATATGATTATAATAAAATGGTTGTTAATGGTTGTTTGAACTACTTAACATATCTTATTATTTTCAAAGTCAATGGTTAGTAAATACTATTTAAATAAAATTTGATTTTATTTAAATATTACTAAATATTGATTATTTTATGCTAAAATGTTTAGTATAAATAGATGCAAAATGTTTGCAAAGATTTGAAGTGATTTTGTGAGAAAATCAAAGAGAGAAGAAAGTGTTCTTCATATATTTCAAGAAAGTGTTCTTGATAATTCCCAAATTATATCTATATTTATATTCCTATACAAGAAAACCGAGACATTTCTACTAGCGAAGAAAGGTCGTCGGAACCGGGCTTCATAGGGTGGATACGATTAGAGGGAAGACACTTGGATTCCTAAAGCGAGTAACCTCAAGCCGTTGAAGTTACAACCGGGAACCGATTCCCACAATCCACATCTTTGTTGAAGGAGTTCAAGACACTAGGTAAATATTTCGTATTAGTATTTACTTTATTATAACAAATCAAAATTTGTATATAATGCATATTTTAAAGATGACGATCTGTTAATTCGCAATTAGTATGTAAGGGTGTTGTATTTATACGATAAATACTTACTTTAAAAATTTTAAATTCCGCTGCGTACAGCCCATACGGTACTAGCGAACCCAACAGGTACCCCGTGGGAACCCGAACCTTTTCATTGTTTGAAGGGAAAACTCATCTCGAACAATTCACATATGTCACGTATTCTATTGCACAATAATTCTGAGAATATGCCAAGTTCTACAAACATGAGCAATACAACTACATTCACGTACTCCGAAGTGCTGTAATAATACAAACGAAATTAACCTAAACACAGACTGGTCATATGGTAGTAGTAAACGTAATAAGTACTTCCATACATCATGATGGATTCCAAGTTCGTGCCACCTTAATCGATTACAGGCCAAAAGAAAACAATGAAAATGCAGGTGGCAATGTCCAGCAGTTCCAAGGTAAAGATTACATAAAATGTATGACTACACATCCACATACATAACATTATAATACATTACAAAAGTCCATAGTGCAAAAACGACCAAGGCAGGTACCCGAACACATACAAAAGAAACAAAACATGTGGAATTTCTGCGGACTACATCTCAATAATTGGTGCACCATCGAGGTCTTTGCATCATCGTCCACGCTGAAAAAAAGATCCATGTCGTCAGGATTTTTGCTTAAGTACCGCGCAATGCCTACCGTTTCATCCGTTGTTAAGTGCGGAATGTTTGTTAGTGCGTCATAAACTGCGATTCACTGCTGTTTTGCATTTACTTGGTAACCAACACGGGTAGACAGTTCCGAAAGACGGTTGTTTGTCTCTTGGCAAACAGATGAAAGTAGCCCTATTATTTTATCCTCCGACTCAACATTATACTTTCTTTTTCCATCACGCTTAGACTTACCGGATGCACTACTCTCACCTGCTTGAGCCGAAAAAGAGTCGAAGTTAGTCTGAGGGTAGTCACATTATTCCGGAAATTGGTCTTCAGTGGGGACAGGGCTCGGTACTTTGACGTTAGTATCATGTAAGACATCATTGACCGCGTCAGTGAAACCTTGTGCCCACTCTCCCGTTGCACGGTCCTTACCAAAAATTTATACCCAATCGGCATACAAGGGCCAAGATTTATAACGCAATGATTTGGCCTTTGGGTGAGCCTAAAAGAATGATAAGAAAGAAAACAATGATATTGTTACTTTTCAACTGGTACTCATTTCATACGCAATGACAATTGTAACTGGAATTAATACATTGATGTAGTTGTCCCACACCGTGTCATCCCTCACTGTAACCATTTTCCCCGTGTCATTCCATCCGAACCCCGTACTACCAAGCATATCACAAACTATACCATAATTTTTTTTCCAAACCGTAATCTTTGATGATATGTGTGGTTCTGCTTTTATGGTGGTACCCGGGAATTGCTGCCGCATATGTTGTTCTAATATGGTGGTGTAACCGTTGCGAAATCCGTTGTCGCATTTCCACCCGCGCGTGACAAGATCTCGTAAACCATTAATCAATGTTTTTTCCTCATCTGCATTCCAAACTCGACGTTGTCCGCTGGGCTGAGAATTGCGTCCCCCACTATCAGTGGATTCCATGCGTAACTAATGATCACAGAAATAAATCAACAATGGTAAGGTTAAAGAGTAAAACAAGAAAGAAACATTATATTATATCGAAGAAATGTGAAACAGTTATGTGAGGTATAAGAGTGTATTTTTCCACGGCATAAAAAAAGGCAAACAACCGGAAGTAGTAGTAATCACACATTTCAAACAATCGTTCAAATAAATAGTTTTCCAACTAACAACTACCAGACAAGTAGAGATAGTGTATATATGTTTTCTGGTATAGAATAAAAAAAAAAAAAAGTCTCCTTATGGCCATCATTGTAAGCTGCAGTGTTCAACTACGCCCGTCCCATTCATTAAACATTGACACAGCCAAAACTTCCCGCATATTGGTCCATTTAGTGCTTGGCTCAACAACGTCAACATAGTCAGAGGGATTATTTTCCTCGTGGGTTCTCTGATGATTCATCATATTGTCAATCTCATTTTCCAGTGGGTCCACATGCATGGTCATACAGATAAAGTTTTGAAGAAGGCAACATGCAAGTATAATTTTATTTTGAGTGTCTATGTCGAAATAAGTTTTGCTCCTTAGTACAGCCCAGCGCATCTTCAATACACCGAAAGCTCGCTCAATTACATTCTGCGCTCTGGCATGTCATACGTTGAACAGCTCTCTATGGTTTCTAGGCATTCTGTTACCTTCACCAAACTCATCTAAATGATATCGCACACCCCTATACGGAGCCAAGAATCCAGGACCATTCGAGTATCCTCCATCACAGAGGTAATAGTTCCCTGTGTGTGGCAAAAATATTAGACAATCCCCAAAAAATATGAAAAAAAAATTATCCTCACAATTATTTATAAATACTATATTGGATAACCTTTTATGGATATGTATAAATATGTATTTATGTAACACTTACCATTTGGTACACGAAGGCCCCCTGGTCGATGAACAGCGTCTCGTAAAACCCTACTGTCTACTGAAGAACCTTCCCAACCGGTCAGTACGTAAGAAAAATTCATTTCTTGCGTGCAAGCACCAAGCACATTAACAGAAACTTGTCCTTTTCTGTTGCGATATCGTGGATGTAGACGTGCAGGAACACGAATAGGAATATAGGTTCCATCCAAGGCTCCTAAGCATCCCTGTGATTTAAAGCACAAGGTAAATTGGTTTTAACAATTACTTATGTGGAATACAATTAGGGTGCTATTGCAAAATTTGTTGGATTCGTTGTCCTCACCTTGAACCATCTCCATCTCCAATCGGTGCATGAATCGGTAACTGCAGTGCTTTGGGCGAGGAGGATGGGATACAAACGCAGGACGGAACGAAGTACATTACGGAAGAATTTGCTTATTGTTTGACCAGATCGTTTGAAATCAAATTTCACAACACGATTTTTTTATGGTGGGTGTTTGTCCCATTTTTGTTGCTATTTTTGTTTATGTTTTGCATGCATTTTCCCCCGTTTTAGGTCGTTTCTTAGGTGTTACCGGTCCATCTAGTCGTTTCTCGTGTTTTACCTTTATTTTGATGTGTTTAGTATTTTCTTTTCTTTTATCTCTATTTTCCTTGCTTTTCATGTTGTCTTCCGGTTTTGGTGTTTCAGGTCGTTCCGGTTCCCAAGTGTTTCGTCCCAGTTCGTGCCACCAAACAACAAAGGTTTGACTTTCTAGCTCGAGAAAGACCCGAGAGATGTTAGCCGAGATTCCACAAGCCCGAAAAACTAAAAATCGGAAGCTGCCCAGACCCTAGCCTTAGCGGCGCTAAGGGTGTGAAAACTAGCGGCGGTTTGGCCTTAGCGAGGAGGTAGCGACATCAGAGGCTTTATTTTAGCAAAAATGGGGTTAGCGCCGCTAAGGTCTGTTTTCAACAGAAGCGTTTTCTTTGGAATTTTGAATAAAGGGGTTTAAGGGATCGAGCCTTAAGCGTTTTTTATCATTCCCAGAGATTGTATTTTCGACTTTTTCACTCCAGAACCTTGTTTTCTCTTGTCTTTCACTTGGAATTGATCTTGGATTGTGACAACACCAAGATTAAGCTTAGGATTTGGATTGTTTGTTGCTTTTCGACATTGGATTCACTATTAATCGTAAGCATTTCGTTTCATTTTGTGTATGGATTTGATGGCTTGCTTAATTATGAATTGTTGTGTTGAATTGATAATGAGTAGCTAAATTCGTAAACTAGGGCCAGGGGGATAATTGTTTCGGTTCAATTTCGTTTATGTGCATGTTGATTACTCAATATATTCGAGTTGTGTTGAACCTAGGGTTGAATTTATTAATCACCATTTTAATCCACTAAATCGATTCTTAGAACCGAAAGGGGAGGAATCGATTGATCTAGGCTCGTTTAGAATAGACTTGTTCGGAGACGTATTGTCTATGTGCTAATTGATTCGATAATTGTTCATTTACGTTTATTCTCTTGTTATGTGAGTTATTGAGAATGAATCTCTGAATGAGTGAGTTTTTCGTGTTATTTGGCCGAGTGATCGATTGTCGTTTAATGTATTGAGAACCGGAAACGATTGTCCCCGACACCCTAGTCCTTCTTATCATTTTTGAATTGTGTTTTGGAGTGTGAAATTGGGATTGCTTGTTATCATTAGTTGTTAATCGCATAGTTGATAATTAAAACCATCCATTTGAATTAGAGTGTTTAGGACTTGTTTTATCTTTTCGAGTGATTGAATAATCGTACAAATTAATCCGGCTGACCTTCCTTGAGACACGACCCGGTGTTCGAATCTTTTGATTCTACTCCTGTAAAAATAACTACAACAAAATGGCGCCGTTGCCGGGGAAAGTTTATGACTTATTTTGTGCGCCTATTCATTTTGTTTTCAGTGTTTCTCTTATTTTTGTGATTCCTTGTTTTTGTATTTCTTTTCGTTTCATTTTCTTGTTTAGGCTTAGTGTTTTCTTGTTTCGCTTTTCTAGTCTCTCTCTTATCTATCTGGTGCCCATGACGTTTTGTTGTTTTTGTTTATGCGTACCAGGAGCGGTCTTGTAATCATCCCGAACAACGAATCAATCCAGAGGGATCTACAAGAACTGTTGGCTAACCTTGCCCCTGAATCTTCAGACTCAGCCAACCGAGATTCAGATAACCAAGGAGACATGGCACACAACGGTGACGAGGAAGTGAATAACCCACCTCGTTATCTTCTTCGTGAGTTGGCTCAACCAATAATCGGGCCAGTGACTTCGTGTATCCGACTGGGACAAGCAGCTCGGAACTATGAGCTAAAAACCATCCACTACAATCAACTACCATCCTTCCACGGTCTACCAAACAAGGACCCACTTCATTTCATCCGGGAGTTCTACAATGTCCTCCAGACTTTTTCGCTCCACAACTTAAATGAGGACCAGCTGAAGATGAGGTGTTTCCCCGAGACACTCAAGGACCGAGCTAAGGCTTGGTTTATGACACTTGCTCCCGACTCCCTCATCACTTGGGAACAAGTGTACACCAAGTTCATTGGGAAATACTACTCTCATCACAAGACGCAGGAATTTCAGTCCCAGATCATTTCTTTTGCCCAACAGCCAAACGAGCCACTTCACGAGGCGTGGGAGCGCTTCAAGGACCTCCAGAGACAGTGCCCACATCAGAATTTCCCTCTGGCCTTACTGGTGAACAGTTTCTATGACTCCCTCCACCAGAATCTTCAATACATGGTGGATAATGCAGCTGGTGGAGATATCAGGGCGAAGACGGCAGAAGAGATGATAGATATTTTTTAGGCGATGAGTTCTAACTCGTCTCAAAAGAGCAGTCGAGGGAAGAGGGCTTTTGTCAATGAAGTATCTCCCGGACGAGACATGATGGCACAACAGCTAGCCGAGCTCACGGAGCAGATGCGGCTACTGAATGCAAGGGGAGGCCAACCAATGCAGACCATGGCTGTAGAGGCATGTAGAGCATGTGGAGTCCAAGGGCACAGATCTGAGGTGTGCCCCTCGGCATTCGATCCTGACTACAGTGAGCAATATGTAGACGCCAACGCTCTACAGGGCTATCAGAACCGGCCCGAAAATGACCCGTACTCTAACACGTACAACCCCGGGTGGAGAAACCACCCAAACTTCTCGTGGTCCAACAACAATAACAACAACCAGCAACAACCTCGACAGAACTTCATGCAGCAGCAGCCCCGCCCTAACTTCATTCCCCAAAACCAGATGAGACCGAATTATCCTCAACGGCAGCAGCAGCAGCAACAGAGGGGCCCAATGGGAGGAATGCAAGCACAAGGGACCGGCTCTAGCTCATCAAATCAAGACGACAAACTGGACAAGATTCTCCAGTTTATGGCCAACAGTGAGCAAAGAGGCTTGAACACTGATGCATCCATCAAACGCCTGGAAACACAGTTGGGCCAGCTTGCTACAAGCGTAGGGAACATGGAAGCCGACTCAGACAAGGGGAAGTTGCCCAGCCAGCCTAAGGAAGCCAAGGCGATTACAGTTTTGAGAAGCGGGAAGGAGGTAAACAACCACGTGAAAATGCCCGAGCCTAATGACCTTACACCAACCGACCAACCCAAAAGAGTAGAGGAGAGCCAGAAGAAGAATGCAGAAGCTGGGCCAAGGAAGCAGACAGACGGCCCGATGTTACACAAGTCACCAAACCCTTTCAAAGCAATCATACCTTTCCCGAGCCGACTACGAGATGAGAAGCAAGAGCAGCAATTTCGGGACCTATAAAACATGCTCTCAAAAGTCAACGTTAACCTACCACTCCTAGACGTGATCAAGAATATGCCATCGTACGTGAGATTCTTTAAAGACTTAGTGACGAAGAAGAGGAAATTTGGAGACGAGGAGAAAGTAGTGGTCTACGAAGCTGCAAGTGCTATGCAGCATGATCTTCCGAAGAAAGAACGAGATCCCAGGGGTTTTGTGGTTCAGATAACCCTGGGAAATGGAAAGGAGGCTTCGGGGATGCTTGACCTCGGAGCAGGAATCAATCTCATGCCGTTCTCCATCTTTCAGTGACTCGGCCTAGGAGACTTGAGGCCAACCCGGATGTGCCTCCAGCTTGCAGACCGTTCAATCCGGTACCCAAAAGGGGTAGTGAAAGATGTCCTTGTCCGTGTTGGGAGACTCATTGTCCCTGTGGATTTCGTCGTCCTGGATGTGGGGGACGTACAGAAGAATGGGAAGGATCACACCATCCTTCTAGGCAGACCATTCATGGCCACCACAAACACCCTCATCGATGTGAAGAATGGGACCCTGAACATGACCGTCTTGGGCGAGTCCGTTTTTATTTCAGTCCGAGAAGCCACATCTACATCCTCAGTGAACTTTGTAGAGGAGTGCGCCTTTGTTGATGTTAGTGACCCGTGTGTGGAAGAGATGACTATACGTGACTTCGAAGAGAGGACAATGCCTGATCTAGACGATGAAGAAGAGCCAACCATTGAGCTCTTTGCCGTTGACGAGCCCCACACACTGACTCCGACCACATTAGAATTGAAGGAGCTGCCCCGACACCTCAAGTATGTGTTCCTTGATGACGAGAAGCAAAAGCCGGTAATCATCTTCGCTGAGCTTTCGCTTAACGAGGAGAAGGAACTAATTGATGTGCTCAAGAAGAATCAGAAGGCGATTGGGTGGAGCCTCGGAGACATTAAGGGCATCAGCCCTTCCACATGCATGCACCGGATAATCCTAGAAGAAGGTGCCAAGCCATTTCGGGATAGCCAGCGGCGGCTCAACCCGAATATGATGGAAGTCGTAAAGAAGGAGGTGCTCAAGCTCTATTCAGAAGGACTCATTTATCCAGTGGCGGACAGCGAAAGGGTCAGCCCCATACATGTAGTTCCGAAGAAAGGGGGTATCACGGTTATCGAGAACAAGAAGAAGGAGATGGTCCCCACCCGAATCACTACCAGGTGGATAATGTGCATAGACTATCGGCGCCTCAATGCCGTGATAAAGAAGGATCACTTCCCGTTACCCTTCATCGATCAAATTCTCGACCGTCTCTCGGGCCATCAGTTCTACTGCTTCTTAGACGGACTCTCCGACTACTACTAAGTAGCCATAGTGCCCGAGGACCAGCCTAAGACGACCTTCACGTGCCCATTCGGCACCTTTGCTTTCAGGCGGATGCCATTCGGCCTATGCAATGCACCAGGAACCTTCCAAAGGTGCATGTTCTCCATCTTCTCAGATATGCTCGAGGACTGCCTACAGGTATTTATGGATGACTTCTCTATTTTCGGTACTTCATTTTCTGATTGTCTCCATAATTTATCTCGTGTGCTTGAAAGGTGTATTGAGTCGAATTTGACCTTGAGTTGGGAGAAGAGTCATTTTATGGTGACTAGTGGGGTTGTGTTAGGTCATGTGGTGTCGAATCGTGGTATTGAGGTCGATAAAGCGAAAATTGACGTGATTGAAAAATTACCCCTCCTGTGAATGTGAAAGGGGTTAGGAGTTTTTTGGGTCATGCTGGCTTCTATAGGCGATTTATTAAAGATTTTTCGAAAATAAGCCAGCCTTTGTGTCACTTTCTTTCTAATGATGTGCCTTTTGTGTTTGATAATGCATGTGTAGATGCCTTTGATAAGTTGAAAAATAAGCTTGTGACTGCACCTATTGTTATTGCTCCTGAGTGGTCGTTGTCTTTTGAGATTATGTGTGATGCTTCAAACCTTGCTGTTGGAACCGTCTTGGGTCAACGAGTTGATAAGTTACTTCGTGTAATTTATTATGCTAGTTTGACCTTAAACGGTGCCCAACTGAACTATACCACCACCGAAAAAGAGCTTTTAGCCGTGATATTTTCTCTTGAAAAGTTTAGATCTTACATTTTGGGATCTAAAGTGATTGTCATTCTGATCATGCGGCTCTTAGGTATCTCTTGAGTAAGACTCAATCGAAACCTAGACTCATTCGGTGGATTTTATTGTTGCAAGAGTTTGATGTAGAAATTCGTGATAGGAAAGGTTGTGAAAATGTGGTTGCTGATCATCTCTCTCGCATTGTCCCTACTGATCATTCACTCCCTTTCATGTTAATATAAATGATAGTTTTCCCTATGAGCATGTGAGTGAAGTGACTAGTGTTCCTTGGTATGCGGACATAGTGAATTATTTATCGGATGGAGTCTTGTTGTCTAACCTCTCTTCCCAAGAGAGGAAGTGTTTTGTGTTGATATGCAGGAGTTACTTTTGGGACGACCCATTCCTTTTCAAGGTAGGAAAGGACGAGATCCTTCGGAGGTGTGTGCCCGAAGAGGAGCAACCGGATGTCCTTGCTTTTTGCCACGAGCTTCATTGTAGAGGACACTTTGGAGGTCCGAAGACCGCCTTTAAGGTTCTTCAATCAGGTTTATTTTGGCCTTCTCTCTTTAAGGATGCTCACAATTTTAGCAAATCTTGCGACCGTTGTCAAAGAATTGGGAACATTAGTTCTAGAAATGAAATGCCTCTAGTTAACAATCTTCAAGTTGAAATATTTGATGTATGGGGCATTGATTTTATGGGACCATTTCCCAAGTCTTTTGGCTTTGAGTATATTCTTCTTGCTGTAGATTACGTGTCCAAGTGGGTTGAGGCCATCTCCACAAGGACGTGTGATGATAAAGTGGTCATCAAGTTTTTGCAGATTCATGTTTTGAGCAGGTTCGGATTTCCACGAGCTATTGTGAGTGATGGGGGCAAACATTTTTGCAACCGGATATTCGAGAAGCTGATGAAGAAATACGGCATTTCACATAAGGTAGCCACTCCATACCATCCACAGACTTCGGCCAGGCAGAAACGAGCAACAAGCAGATCAAGACCATTCTTGAGAAGACGGTGAACACGTCCAGGAAGGATTGGTCCAGTCGTCTTGATGACGCAGTATGGGCCCAATGCACAGCTTACAAGGGAGTCTTGGGGACGAGTCCTTTCAGGCTCGTCTACGGAAAGGCATACCACCTTCCGGTCGAGATCGAGCACAAGGCTTTTTGGGCAATAAAGCGGATGAATCTTGATCTTGATGCAGCCGGACGTGAGCGGATGTGGCAACTGTCAGAACTTGAGGAGTTGAGGAACGAGGCTTACGAGAACTCCAAAATCTACAAGGACAAGGTAAAAAAGCTTCACGACTAGACCATTGTCCGAAAGAATCTTATTCCTGGTATGAAAGTTCTCCTATTCAACTCCCGACTTCGTCTTTCTCTGGGGAAACTCAAGTCCCGGTGGAGTGGCCCATACATCGTTGATGAGGTGTTGTCTTTTGGGGCCGTCCGACTGCGCAATTCAGCAAATAGCGAACTATTTGTGGTAAATGGGCAAAGAGTGAAGCCATATTTCGATGGAGAGTTCGGAAAACTCCATGTCAAGACCATTAGTCTCGGCGACCCATTGTATCCTTGATCGAGGAGAGCCATTTGTACNGCGAGGTGCTAGCGACAACAGACAGTTTTTTCGAGCAATCCTTAGTGCCGCTAAGGGGCTAGCGGCGCTAACCCCTGATACTTGATAAAAAAAAAAAGAAGAACGGGCATTTGGGCATAATATCGCAAACACATCTCGTTTTCTCAAGAACCACCGCGACTCTCTCTCCCTCAAACATCCTGCCCAGTCACCATCAACCTCTGTCCGACGTCCCTCCGACGGCCATCCCCAGCCACCTTCAAACCGCCAGCTACCCCATCAGACAATTTATTCCCTCCGGCAGTCCACTCACAATTCCACCCGAAATCCAACCCTAGCCGCGCCTAACACTTCGTCTCCGGTCATCTACCTCAGGGACCAACTTCGGCCATCCGACCGTCCTACCTGCTCCGGCGGCTCACCAACAACGGCGACTTTCGAACACGAGCTCTCAGTGACACCATTCATCTCCAACAGCCACTATTCAAGAATTCTTCACCAACCCTAGCTCGTCATTCGTGGAAAATTGTTCGTCTACGACCGTCTGTCGCATCATAAGGTACCAATAGCTTTCCCCTATTGAAATTGGTGCATTGTTGTGGCGTGAGGAGGCCTACTTCGAGTTCGAATCAGTCCAAATTGTCCACAACACCTTACGCTCAATTCTCGCACGCCAAGTGTTTGATAGTTTTCCCGAACCAAAAATCATGGTTAAAAGAGGAGCGAATTCGAAGAAAACGGCCCCCTCGACCTCAAAGTCCAAAGCCACGGCGTCGACGAGCGCCAACCCCGACCCGGCAGCCGAGCCGCAATCTCTAGCCCAACAACACGGCGTTCCTTTCGAAGTTCTTTCAATGAGGGAGGTCGAGACGTTTAAACGCCTCGATTCAAATCCATTCACACCTCCCCACATCCTCGATTGGGGCCTTCTCGAGGACCTTAAGCTCAAAGACGACGTCAAGCGCTACTTGGCATTGCTCGACCTCGAGCAATTCGAGGACGTGAGTCCGTTTGCGTTCAAAACATTGGCCTTGGAGTTCTTTACCACAGCCGTCAAGCATGACAATGGCAAATACCTTACCGCTCGTCTCAAGGGTAAAGAGTACAAGATCACGGACAAAGTGTTGAAGGAAATTTATGAATGCAAGTCTCAGACGAAGACACGCCACAGTCCAGCGGGGTTTCAAGTCGACCCGCATTAGGCACTCCTCACTCCATGCGAAAAGTACAAAAGGACCGGCGCATCGTCGGGTTTGCTCACCGATGTAGGACACGCAGTGATTCACAAGTATATCTCGCACATGGTCTTCGGGAAGCGTGAGTCCAACAAGGTGAGCGAGCAGCAGGTCTTTATCCTTTGGTCGGTATCAAGAGACAAGCCAGTTAGCATGTTGCAGTACCTCAAGAATGCCCTTTTCGACATACGAAATGACACAAGGCGTGGCCCGAACTTGGGGCATGTAGTTGCGGATTTTGCCGAGTTCTTTGGGGTTGAGATTGACGAACCCAAGGTTGGCGCCCAGTATATTACCGAGAGGGAGCTCTCCACCGCCGGGTTCATTGACGATCGTTACACCATTCGTTCCGTTCAGAAACGGAGGAGTTACGAGATTTATATGGCATCTATAGGCCAGGGAGTCGCCCCGTCCACAGCAGTAGCTGGTACGTCAGCCGGTCCAGCTGGAGGCCTCTGATGATGAAGACAGAGACGACTACGAGACCGACGAACATCCCGCCCCATCGATGGACACGCACACGGGTGCATCTTCCGAGTCGGCTGCTCCAGTTTGGTTTTCCGAGTATGAGGCTTGGAATGAGGCACATTGGGCGTCATTCGTGAAGTCCTGACGAGCGTTGGGCAGAGCAGACCCATAGGTGGAATGAGTTCGTGCAGCACACCAAGGAACACTGGACAGCCCACGGCAACCGGTGGGACACCTGGGCAGACCAGCAGTACCAGCAGTGGAGCACTTGGGATACCCGTTTCAGTCAGTGGGATACCCATAGGAGTGCGGATAGCAGCCACCCTCCACCGCCAGCACCGGACGCGCAGTGACTTGTCAATGTGCTTTGTACGTTTTTCTTTCTCTTTCTCGTTTATTTTTTTATAGCTTGTTTTATTTTCCAGTCGGTTAATTGTATGGTCTGTCTCTCTTGCACTTAGGATTGACAATGGGGACATTGTCTAATTTTAAGTGTGGGGGAGTTTTACGTGTTTACGTGGCTATGTGGTTGACCATGTCTAGTTTTTATTTCTAGAATTGCTTTTGCTTTTCTCTTGTTTTTGTGGACCGGTATATTTTGTATAAGATTATTTGTTTGTGTTTTTCTGAGCTTGGACTTTGGTGTATCGTAAGACTAGTTGATGATTGATTGATTAGGTCAAGTGGTTGTGATGATGAGAATGAGTGGCATATCTTGATGAATTGGCTTGGTTGTTCTGTTGACAGTTATTTTACCTTGTGAGGTTTGAGCATGTTCATTTCTTTTCTCGTGAGACATTGGTCAGAATCGTGGTCAGTTAGAATTTGCCTTGAGTCTGCTTAGAAATGAAGTAATTGGATCCGTGAACGTGAATATGATTGAGGCATTCTTTGTATTTCCCTTCCCTTTTCTTTTTCTGAAAATAATTTTCACTAGTCACCCCTTTTGAGCCTTACCGATTTTCTTTTTCTTATAACCTCGTGACGATGATGTTGTGAAGTTGCGTGTGTAGACTGAGAGGTGATTCGTGTTTGTTTATATTAAAAAAAAAAAGAAGAAAAGAGAAACCGAATGGATTACGTCAAATGTCCAAAGGTTCTCACACAAAAAAAAAAGTGAAACCGAATGGATTACGTTAAATTTCCAAAGGTTCTCACACAAAAAAAAAATGGTGAATAAATTGGGTAGTAGGTTGATTTTGGAGTAGTGGGAGGAATCGGTTGGTGTCAGCAATCGGAGGAATTCATGTTTATGGTTATCTGATTGAGTGGAGTTGATTTTTATTTAGTCAGTTAGCCTATATTTATCCTACCCTATCCAAAGAGCCTACGTTACAACCCTTAAAGCCCTCTTGATTCATGGTTTCACGAATTTGATTGTTTTAGAGTAGGAGTTAGATGATAGGCAAATTTATGATTGATTCGACTGACGACCAATTTGAGTGTACCCAGTTGATATTTGAGAAAGAAATTGAGTGAGGCATATATGGTACACTTCTGTACTCGAGAGTTTAGGTCATTCAAAATAGCCAAGTGACTAGTTGAGGTGTGCCCTTGTGATCATTTGAATTCTTCTTGACTTGATTGATTGGTTTGAGATTAGTCTTGCTTGAACCGTTGTCCTTACTCATTTGTTTATTTTCTTTTTCTTTTCTTTTCCTTTCTTTTTGTTCGGGACGAACAAAGGTCTTAGTGTGCGGGAGTTGTTTGTCCCATTTTTGTTGCTATTTTTGTTTATGTTTTGCATGCATTTTCCCCCGTTTTAGGTCATTTCTTAGGTGTTACCGGTCCATCTAGTCGTTTCTCGTGTTTTACCTTTATTTTGATGTATTTAGTATTTTCTTTGCTTTTATCTCTATTTTCCTTGCTTTTCGTGTTGTCGTCCGGTTTTGGTGTTTCAGGTCGTTCCGGTTCCCAAGTGTTTCGTCCCAGTTCGTGCCACCAAACAACAAAGGATTGACTTTCTAGCTCGGGAAAGACCCGAGAGATGTTAGCCGAGATTCCACAAGCCCGAAAAACTAAAAATCGGAAGCTGCCCAGACCCTAGCGCCGCTAAGGGGTTAGCGGCGCTAAGGGTGTGAAAACTAGCGGCGGTTTGGCCTTAGCGAGGAGGTAGCGACGTCAGAGGCTTTATTTTAGCAAAAATGGGGTTAGCGGCGCTAAGGGGTTAGCGCCGCTAAGGTCTGTTTTCAACAGATGCGTTTTCTTTGGAATTTTGAATAAAGGGGTTTAAGGGATCGAGCCTTAAGCGTCTTTTATCATTCCCAGAGATTGTATTTTCAACTTTTTCACTCCAGAACCTTGTTTTCTCTTATCTTTCACTTGGAATTGATCTTGGATTGTGAAAACACCAAGATTAAGCTTAGGATTTGGATTGTTCGTTGCTTTTCGACATTGGATTCACTATTAATCGTAAGCATTTCGTTTCATTTTGTGTATAGATTTGATGGCTTGCTTAATTAGGAATTGTTGTGTTGAATTGATAATGAGTAGCTAAATTCGTAAACTAGGGCTAGGGGGATAATTGTTCTGGTTCAATTTCGTTTATGTGCATGTTGATTACTCAATCTATTCGAGTTATGTTGAACGTAGGGTTGAATTGATTGATCACCATTTTAATCCACTAAATCGATTCTTAGAACCGAAAGGGGAGGAATCGATTGATCTAGGCTCGTTTAGAATAGACTTGTTCGGAGACGTATTGTCTATGTGCTAATTGATTCGATAATTGTTCATTTACGTTTATTCTCTTGTTATGTGAGTTATTGAGAATGAATCTCTGAATGAGTGAGTTTTTCGTGTTATTTGGCCGAGTGATCAATTGTCGTTTAATGTATTGAGAACCGGAAACGATTGTCCCCGACACCCTAGTCCTTTTTATCATTTTTGAATTGTGTTTTGGAGTGTGAAATTGGGATTGCTTGTTCGAGTATCATTAGTTGTTAATCGCATAGTTGATAATTAAAACCATCCATTTGAATTAGAGTGTTTAGGACTTGTTTTATCTTTTCGAGTGATTGAATAATCGTACAAATTAATCCGGCTGACCTTCCTTGAGACACGACCCGGTGTTCGAATCTTTTGATTCTACTCCGGTAAAAATAACTACAACAGTGGGCTGTCACACTAAGAAACATTGCTACTTGCTCAGTTATGTGTATATTTCTGGTGTTCTTAAGCCCACCAACATATTCTAACAAGTAGCATAACTGGACAAAGGTACTTGAATCCATGCGAAGTTGTTCAATCCATGTCGTATCACTTTGTTCTACTAGCACTTTCATGTGTTCAATTTGCGAGGGAAGACGGTCTGACATATGATAGGACGCATTTCCCAGCCGACCTCTACGTTTATGAATTTGTCTAGGTTGAACAACCAACTTAAGGTAAATGTACGCAATGATAAAAAACAAATTACGCAGATTAATTATCTTCTCCACGAGCAAAAGTACTACCGCCTCCTCCGAATCTATGTCCATCATTTAAGCTGATGATCTCAACAACAATATGTATTTAGCCATGTAATCGATGAAGGCAAACGCAAACATTTTTTATACAATGTCAGTGTAAGTGTAAATTCAAAAGGATCCAACTATATCCAAAAAAATAAGTAAATAAGATTCTTCTGCATAGCA